TAAATTTAATACCCTTCTTTGGTGTTAAATTATCAAAAACCCAGGAGAAATTTTATTTCCATTTTTTCTTCCCTTTGCCTAATCCTCTTTTTTTTTTTTTTTTGTTTCTTTCATTTTTTGTTTTTGGGTTTTTTGGGTGCTGGGACCAGAATTCAGATCCTCACACAATCTGGGCAAGTTCTCTTCCACTGAGCTACATCCCTAACCCCAAGGAAGAAAAATTTCTATCAAATGGTAATATGGAATAAAGCTATCTGCAAATTATTTGTATATATAAATTTATATACACAAATTGAAAGTTAAGAAGCAGGATAGACAAAGGGAAAATGAGGTTGGGTCAGCTTCCAGCAAATACAGGAGATATCCATTCATGTACAGGAGTTATTCCATTCAGATTAAGGGAACAGTCATTTTAGGGGAAATGAAGCAGGACACAGGTATCCTCACGTATTAGAGCACATGGGACAAGGAAAATTTCATATTCCTCTAAGGAAGCAACCTTAAAAAAGAAGAGCAACTGTGATTGTCAGTAAAAAGAAAACACTATCGGGTATATAGTATTGAACTCATTCATCTAGTTTCTATAACTGAGAAGTGCACATTATATATTATTGAAAGCAGCAATGTTAAATCACTATTTAGACAGGCTGAGATCAGCCAGTGTCACTGTCATTTGATGTCGTTTTTCTGACTTTCAAAAGCTTGACAAGGGAGTAGAGCATGGCAGCTCTACAGGGCAGCACCAGCGGTGCAACTAGATGCTCACTTCCAGCTACCTGACGAGCCCTCCTGGAGGCTGCCATCGCTCAGAGAGGATCTCCATAAATACGAACATTAGGATGATGCTAATTCTCTCTCTGTTACGCAGCCTTGTATCGCCCAACATATATAAATGTTCATGGTTCAGAAAGAATATTATGTGTTCCCAGAAGTATGCAGTTAACGTACTTTCCCAACATTCATATAAATTTACCTCTCTATTTAGGCAACTCACTGCTTAAGTCATCATATTAACATTAATCCTATTTTTCCAACATCTTTTGTCGTTTTTGTTAATGGAGCAGGCTGGACTCTCCCTCTCAACAGGCTAGGACTACTTACTGAGAACAGCGAGGGGACACCAACCTTCCTGCAGGATTGGAGGCTGCAAGGAGGTGGGCTTTGGTGGGGTCTGAGCCAGGGGGCAGAGGTTATCAGAGGCTATTAGGCTGAGGGAGGCGGGGACCTTCAGTCAGCTCCCGGTGGAATGTTGAAGCCGGGCGTGGGTCAGACTGTCCTGCCTGCGCGTCAAGTCCACACACACCTGGGTTCTGCCTGGTGTCCACGTGCACCTGGGGCAGTGGGGAGGCGGTCAGTCCTTCATATTCCATCTTTAGATGCATAACAAGACTGGGACAAGATGGGAGAGGTAAGTCCTTCACATAGCGTCTTTGGATAGATACAAGGATGGGGCTGGAAGAAGAGACTGGAAAGAGTTGTTGGACTCTGCTTGGAGATTCTTTGTTCTATTGGGGATTTATTTTCTGAACTGTCCTGTTTGGAATTTATGTCCCATTTGGGATTTTATAGCAAGGGCATCATTCTGATGCCGGTGGTCCTGAACTTTCTTTTTCTTTTTCTTTTTTTGTGGGTTGTGGGTCTTGAACTCTGGGCCTGGGCGCTGTCCCTCAGCTCTTCAGCTCAAGGTGAGAGCACTATCACACGAGCCACAGCTCCACTTCCGGTTTCCTGGTGGTTTATTGGAGATAAGCGTCTCACAGACTGTCCTGCCAGGCTGGCTTTGAGCTGCGATCCTTAGATCTCAGCCTCCTGAGGAGCTAGGATGACAGGCGTGAGCCACTGGCGCCCGGCTTTGGTCCTGCACTTTAGATGAGATCAGGGTAGAGTCTTCCTGAGAACCAGGAAGGGCCCAGGGAGTGGGGGGTGGGTGTGGGAGGGGGCAGTCAGTGGCCATGGGAGCAATGTGGGGTTATGAGAACAAAGCAGATTCCCATCAGCTCTGAATAGCAAATTAATACTTTGATAATCACCCATCATCATGGCCCTTTTACTCCTATGATAAACAACAGTGATAACAACAGGTATTTCTCTAGTGCTAGCCAGATGCTAGGCACTATGTGTACATTCGCTCCCTTACACATACACACACTCCCTACAACAACCCTGTAGCACAAGTACCATATTGTTACCATTTTACACATGAAGAAAACAGAACCGCTGAAGAAAGATTAAATAACTTGTCCAGTCTGGTGAGTGTGGAGCTAGAATTTGTACTCAGTACACTGGGTCAGAGTCTAGGCTCTTTAGACACGCTGCCTTGGGCAGGTGAAGAATGAGTAGAAGTTCTGATGGCTGGAAGATGAGGATGAGTGGAAGTATAGAGAACAGGAATCAATACTTGCAAAAGCATGTCAGGGGTGAGGATGGCATAGAGGACAGGTAGGTATATCTGAGATTAAAATAGGAGCCATGAGGTGAACCCAGGGAGGCACAGGTGGAACGGGGAGTCCTGTGGAGGCATGACCATGTAGGACTGTGCAGGTCAGGTCAGAAACTAAAAAGGAACAGGAAATCACGGGAGGAGGTATGCAGGGGGAGAGGGCGCAGCAGTCTGAATGCCACTTTGGCATAAAGGTGAAATGCAGGGAGCCACGCGGCAGCCAGGCGACTGTGCTGTTGGGGGAAGGGTACAAGTCACACAGGGCAGAGGGAAGGATTGAACTTGGGAGAGGGAGTCTCAAAAGGAGTTCCATGGGTGATTCCTAGGCTTCTAGTTTGTGGAAACAACTAAGGAGGCTCAGAGGCTTGTAATGAAAGTAATTTGCTAAATCCTGGAGATGTGGAGTACAGGGAATATATGGGATCAGGGGAGGTGTCCAGAAGTATACTGAAGGAAGGACTCAGAGATACATTCTGGAGATACACCTGACAGTTTAAGCCACAGGATACATAAGATCCCACAAACAGGTTCTAGAAGAAGAGAAGCTGAAGGACGTGGCATTGTAAAAGACCTGTAAGACAGGATGAGCCTGCAAAGGAGATGCTGAGAGGCAGAAGGAAAACCAGTACAGTGATGTCAGAAGCCAGTGAGAGGATGGGTTTAAGAAAGCAATAAAGTCCAATGCTTCTGAGAACCAAGAAGACTCAGGTTGAAACATCCATTACAGCAGGAGACATGGTGGCAGCTTCCAGAAGGACCAGAGGGCAGGAGTGAAGTGAGGCATGAGGATGGGGTATGGAAATGAAGAAAGAGGGACGCATGAGAGAATGGAGGGTCAAGAGAAGGGTCAGCAGAGTTCTGAGTGCCAAGCGCCAGTGGCTCACACCTGTCATCCTAGCTACTCAGGAGGCTGCGATCTGAGGACCACAGTTCAAAGCCAGCCTGGGTACACAAATCCTTCAGACTCTTATCTCCAATTAACCAGCAAAACAACCACAACTGGAGGCATGGCTCTAGCAGATGGTGCCAGTCATGAGCAAAAAAGCCAAGTGAGAACACGAGTCCCTGAGTTCAAGTCCCAGCACCAGCATGAGAATGACCGTGTTAAAATGTTGATTCCAAGACCAGAGCTGGGAGAAAGGAGATGAATACAGAGGGGAAAAGCCGGAAGTATGAAGCTTCTATGAAGTAGAGAGAGAAAACATCAAAAGCTCGAAGAGCTGTGAGAAGATGGGCTTTTACCAGGAAGGCAGGAAGCTAGGAGGTGAGTGGCTATAGACAGGTTTGTTCCTTGGACAGTGAGAAAACTGTGAAGTTCCCATCTGATGGCTCCCACCTCGTTTAAGACACAAAGCTGCACAGGGAGAATGAAAGAGGAGGTGTGGGGTGAGAAGGAAAGAGTTCTGAGCAGACAAGAAGGTCTAAGCTGTAAAGGCGGTAAAAGTGAAACCCTGAAACAGATTGCTAGGTGGAACTGAGGCCTCATTTCAGAATACTGGGAGTCAAGACATGCAGAGGTTTCAAATGATTACAGTGCTTGGCAGTGGGTTCAGGCAGGGTGGACAACTGTGAGGAGCATCCAGCTGGGGTTTGGCTAAGCGAGATCCCACACGAACTCCAAAGGACAAGTGGACTTAAGGTTCAAACCTGCTAGATACGGACCAGGCACCTAACCTACAAGAAGAAAAGAGAAAAAAAGGGACTTGGAGAGAGTAACAGGGACAGAGGAAATGAGAGAACAAGCTACTGACTGAAAAAGGTGGATAAAGAACAGAACATTTGAACTTCACCCATTAATTCCATTAAAACCCATTACAAGGAGACACAAGTAGTTCACGCTCATGTTAGCTCTTCAGAAGAATGAGATCCGGAGGACTGCAGTTTGAAGCTAGCCTGGCAAAGAGTTTGCCAGACTCCATCTCCAAAATAGCAAGCTGAGCAAGAGCTCAAGGCTCCAGTTCAAACCCCAGTACCTAAAAATAGATCAATCAATCAATCACTCATTAGCAATTGTGTAGACGTTAAGTCAAAGCCCAGCACAACAAGTACCAGGAACCAGGTGCCAGCAAGAGGGCACGGGGGGGGGGGGGGGCAGAAGAAGGGGGAAGAGTCGGGAATGCAGGCAAGAATTCATACCACAGAACTGAAACATTAAGGAAAAGGGTGTGTGAAGATGTTGACGTGGCACACACCGAGATGCAGTGTACACATAAACTGCTTTGTTAAATTACAAAAGATTCAATATATAACCTAGAATTAAGGTAAGTAAGGGAAGGGGTGGCGTGGAGGGTTGGGTAGAATGCTGAAAGGGGTGACATTAAGAAGCATAAACTGCTCTGTACAGCTACCTAAAATAATAAAAACACTTTTAAAAAGGGAGCAGAGAATGACTATGGTCCTAATGCAAGACACGATGCCATCTACTGTTGGCCAGAAACCATGGGAATGGCAAGTTAAAGGACTCATTAGATAGCTTGAACTAGATCGCTCATTATTAATACATTAAGGAAATGTGTGAAAAGATTACGAGCCAAGGAGAAAAATACACAGAACACCCTACCTGGGTGGAGACTCCTCCTCCAGGGCGCCCAGGGTCTCCTCTTCCACCGGGGCCTCTTCCTTTGGGGCCGTTAACTCCACGCCACTGAAAAACAGCAAAAGCCTCTGCAGTCATATGAATGCGTTTACACCAATGCTTTTACAAACATAATATTGCACAAATTTTAATGACCCATGTCTTCCTTTTCTAAAAGAAGCGGTATTAGGGTTTGAACTTAAGAGCACTGCATTGAAGCAAGATTCTCCTACTTTGCTTCCTGCATAGCTGAGATTACAGATGTGTACAGATGTGTACAGATGTGGCTTGTTTCTTTTGTGTCTTTTTCCCCAGAGAGCCTCAAACCACGGTCCTCCCAAGTCACCAGATTACAAGTAGGAGTCACTGAGCTCAGCTTTAGTGTCCTATTTCTTTTTTTGGGGGGGTCCGGTCATGTGGCCTGAACTCTGGCTGGGCGCTGTCCCTCAGCTCTTCAGCTCAAGGCTAATGCTCTACCACTTGAGCCACAGCACCACTTCCGGCTTTTTTCTTTTTGCTTATGTGGTGCTGAGGAATCGAACCCAGGGCCTCATGCATGCAAGGCAAGCGCTCTACCACTGAGCCACCTTCCCAGCCCTAGTGTCCTATTTCTTAAGTGCCTAGATCCTGAGTTCAAGCACCATGATTAGCAGGAGAGACAGAGAGAGAGAGGGGGAAAGAGAGAGTGAGTATGCCATATATATAGAGAGAGAGAGACAGAGAGAGAGGAGGGGGGAGCGGGGGAGAGAGCGAGTATGCACGCCAGTCCTAGGACTTGAACTCAGGGCCTATGCACTGCTACTGAGCTGCTTTTGCTCAAGGCTAGCACTCTACCAATTGAGCCACAGCACCACTTCTGGCTTTTTCTGTGTATGTGGTACTAAGGAATCCAACACAGGGCTTCAAGCGTGCTAGGCAAGCACTCTACCACTGAACCACCTTCCCGGCCTCAATCATAAATATTCTTAAACTACAAGTATTAAAAATAAGACTCTGTTGGGCCTGGCACCAGTGTGTGGCTGCAGTCGAAGACCAAGAAAACGCTGGTGCAGTGGTGTGCACACCTGCCACAGGAGCTACACAGACATGGGAGCTCTTACTTGCCGGGCTGTGGTCAGGCTAGCCTGGGCAAAAAGCTACTGTATTCAAAAAATAATGAAAAGGTCTGGGGGCATGACTCAAGTGATGGAGCCTCTGCATGGCTAGTGCAAGGGCCCTGAGTTCAAACCTACTACTCCCAAAGGGAAGAAAAAGACTGTCCAAACAAACTCAGAAAATGGCAATAAGGCAGAGATAAACTTTACAAAAAGGATTGCATATGATTATAAACAAGCTGGTAATAACTAATCCAGCAAACAAGACTTTGAATTAATTTATATCCTATGTTGTCAATATACCATCTACAGACTGGAAATGACAGCATAACGAAATTTTAAATTTTAATTCACATGACCTCTTTCTTTTCCTTTCTGTATTGCCACGAGTACTGTTTGAATATTACATTTTATGAAGCCCCAGAAAAAGAAATATTTCTTTTAGTAAACAGTTAAAATCCCATTGCAGAACAAGGTGTGTGGCTCCAGTGGCACAGTGCTTACTTAGTCTAGCAAGCCAGGTTCAGTTCCAACACTGCTGGAAAAAAACTAGTCACATACGGGATCCAGCATTTTTTTCATCCTGGTTCAGAAAAAAAGTTTTCAATGATGGCTTTTTAAGGTTTTAAAGTACATATAAATTAAACTGTTCTAAGCATGTAGAAACTGCCATCAGTTTTAAAAGGCCCTTACAATTAAAGGAGGTACTCTTAAGGAAGGGACCCAAAGGTTCAATGAATGCCTCTGTGCCAGTGAACCTGTAAAATAATATTTATCAACATGAATGCCAGGAAATGGCAACACGTTTTTAATATTTTTCCCATTGTTGATGAAGATGGTGTTGTTTTTTGCTTTTTGGTCTTTGTTTCTTGGTTTTTGTCTTGTTTGTTCCTTTAACTGTCTTTGGGGGGTAAGAGGAGGCAAAGAAGTGGAAGAACAAAGGGTGAACAAATGTAGCAGTGGTACTCAGTAGACACTATCGGGAAAAGGAACAATACAGCTGTACAATTTGTAGGTAGAGATGGGAGAGGGAAAAAGAGAGATCAAAGGAAGGGGTGAAATTTCCCCCAAAGAAATACACTTATTACCTGCTTATGAAATGGTGACCCCTCTGTACATCTCTTTAATAATTAATAACAGGGGCTGGGAAGGTGGCTCAAGTGGTAGAGCGCTAGCCTTGAGCTGAAGAGCTGAGGGACAGCACTAGACCAAGGGTTCAGGCCCCATGACTGACAAAACAAACAAACTTTTTTTAACCTTAGTTTCTTTTTGCCATGAACTTTGATTAACTTCTACTTTGGCTTTGCTTCTTCTCTTTTGTACAGCTTCTGAGTCTTGAGCTCAGGGTGTCTCTCTCTCTCTCTCTCCTGTCAGCTTTTTCTCTCAAGGCTGGCACTCTACCACTGGAGGTACACCTTCACTTCCAGCTTTTTTAAAAAACTGCTTAACTAGAGATTAGAATATCTATCTCAGGTTCATCTGCCTGAGCTGGTTTCAAGCTTTAATTCTCAGATCTCAACCTCCTGAGTAGCTAGGACTATAGCGGTAAGCAGCAAGTCCCTGGCATTTAAAAAAAACATCATAAATTAGTGATACAAGGGGAGATTTTGTTGTGACATCTCCACCCAATGTGATCCTTTTCCCTCTTCTCAAAACAATTTCCACAGGTGTCAGTTTTATTTTGACAAAAATCTACTTTAACCATATTCACTTTCCCTTTTTTAGCCCAACCCTTACTAGTGCTCCACCCTAGCCCCTCTCTGCCCCAACTTGCTATCAATCAACAGCTTTCATGTTTACTCACTCTCTTTTGCCCTTCCCTTTCTCCTCTAAGCAGTCCCGTAGACTCAAATTGTATGCTTGCCTATATATATAAGGGTACAATCACGTCTATGAATATGTATGTTTTTTAGGCCTAGCTTCTATATAGGAGAAAAAACATTATTTTTTAAGCTTAGCTCATTATGATGTCCTCTAATTACATCCACTTTCCTGAAAACGACATGATTTCATTTTCCTTCATGGCTGTATAACATTCCATGGTACATCTATACCATTTCTTCTTTATCCATTCAAGAAGATTCCAGGTGTCTGATTCCATCATTTGGCTATTGTGCACAGTGCTGTAATAAACATGAGTTATGCTGGCATCTTTCTGATATATTGATCTGTTCTACTGACATATGCCTCATATTGGTATAGGGGAGTCTTTGGAAGGGTCTATTTTTTGGACTGATATCCATATGGTTACACTAGTTTACATTCCTACCAAAAGAGTATAAAGATTCCTTTTCTAATTCATCTGCCAGCATTTCTTGGTGGCTGTCATTCTGACTGAAGTAGATGGACTCTTACTGCAGTTTTAATTTGCATGTTCTTTATTATAGATAAGGCTGTTGAACATTTCCTCATGACTTCATTAGCCATCTCTTTCTTCTTCTGAAAACTATGTAATTAGATTATTTGTGGGGTTTTTGCTAATTTCAGTCCCTTGTATAGTATGGATATCAATCCTTTATTTGTTGACTAGCTGGCAAAGATTTTTCTTTCATTCTTGGGCTGTCTTTTGATTCTGGTGATCGCTTCTTTTGCTGTGAAGAAACTTTAATTTGATACCTTCCCATTTGCCCATGTTTGTTCCCATCCTCTGGAGTCTTATTCAGAAAATACTTGCCTGTATCTTTAAGTTTCAGAAGTTATCTTATGTTTTTCTGTAGTAGATTTAAAACTCCAGTTCTTATTTTGAGCTCTTCGTTCCTCTTGGAGTTTTTTTTTTTAAGCCCCATTTTCAGTATCCTAAAGTGGATGACCTGTTTTCCCAACACCATTTGTTGGAGAGTCTTTTCTCCGGTGTGTGTCTTTTGGCTCCTTTGTCAAATATCAGTTGGCTACAGATCTGTGCTCTTATTAAAAACTTTTACTTTATGAACAAGATGTTTTTCTTTACCTTTTTTTTGCTGGTCCGGGGGCCTGAACTCAGGGTCTAGCTACCCTGAGGTATCTTCCCCAAGGCTAGGACTCTACCACTTTAGCCACAGCTCTACTTCCAGCTTTTTGGTGGTTAAGATAAGAACCTTACAGACTTTCCTAACTGGGCTGGCTTCCAACTGTGACCATCAGATCTCAACTTCCTAAGTAGCTAGGGTTACAGGCATGCGCCATTGGTGCCTGGCTTTAAACAAGATCTTAAATCAAATGTACTTGATGTGTGGAAGGACAGACACCTAGTAGAGGCCCTTCATAAATGCTCACATCTACACATCAGCCAGACCCCTGTGGGTCACTTGATTTTTAAGCACCAAGTAGTCCCAAAGTCTAGCAGAATGGCAACACTTAAGTTATTTCAACGTTTTCTTTGTTCTCTTGCCATGAAACAAACCAAGATTAAAACACAAAAAGAGTTGTCAATGGCTTGTGCCTGCAATCCTAACTACTAAAAAGGCTGAGACTGAGGGCTGTGGTTCGAAGCCAGCCCAAAAAGGAAACTCCATGAGACTCTTATCTCTAACTACCAAAAAAGCTGGAAGTGGAGCTGTGGCTTGCTTCAAACAGTAGAGCTCATTTAACTGAAACTTTTCATTAACTTAATCTTTCTGTGGTCCTAGGTCTTAAATGAGCTTATTACATATTAAAGAAATTAATCTTAAAAAAATTTCCTATTTGCATTGTTAGGGCGCCCCCCCCAAAAAAAAACAGTGGAGCTCTATCCTTAAGCACAAAAGCTTAGGGCACAGAGCCCATGCCCAGAGCCTAAGCCCCAGGAACACACACACACACACACACACACACACACACACACACACACACACACACACACACACACACACACACACACACACACACACACACACACACACACACACACACACACACACACACACACACACACACACACACACACACAGCAAAACCGTACAGGCTTACAGTTTGTACTGTTTGCAATTTATGAATAAATATAAAACTCAAGTTGTACTCCCAGCTTATTGAGCCATGTGATCAGATCTACAAAGCTAATTTCAAGATGAGCAATGACTTGTTTTGACAAATAATGTTCGGCTGAAAGCAAACTGACAATGTTGAGTTCATTACAAGAAACAGCCCTAGAGACTGTGTCTATCCTTTGACTTGTTATCCTAGAGAAAAGCATGCCTATTTGTGTGGCTGTGCTCCAAAAATGCTGCTGAACATTTCAAGGCTTTTAGGACCCAGCTCAAATGTGGTCAGGCTTTACACTGAACCTAAACCTCTAACAGAGGATGGAGTTTCACCAAATGTTACCTGATAACATACAATTACCTGCTCTCAACAGTATAAACTCTAAGGCAGTATTACTGAAAACTTGCTTGTGGTTGTCTATTATGCTCTTACCAAATACTATGTTTTTTAAATGATGTTGATGACACTCTGTGCCAGACCTGTGAAGGAAACGCAAAACTGCCAGAACTACTCAGTCACGTGAGTCTGTCCTTCATTCCAGTCCTGCTGCCAGTGTCTCCGGCATGAGCAAGGGACGCCCTGCACATCACTTCTCCTTCACTTCCTCGCAATCCAAAGTTCACATGGCAGCACTGACTGCCCATCAGCTGACTAAAAAATACAACAAACAAACAAAAAACCCAGGAGGGGCTGAGGATTCAGCTCACTGGAAGAGAACTTGCCTGGCAAGTGCAAGGATTTAAGTTCAGACCTCAGCTCTGAAAACTACAGAAACAAACAACAACAAAAACAACCACAACTACAAAGAGGGAGTCTTACCTGACACTGGTGGCTCACACCTGTCATCCTAGCTACTTAGGAGGCTGAGATCTGAGGATTGTGGTTCAAAGCCATGCTCGGCAGGAAAATCAGTGAGACTCTTATCTCCAAAAAGCCAGAAGTAAAGACATGGCTCAAGTGGTAGACTGCTAGCCTTAAGCACAAAAGCTGAGAGTCAGCACCCAGGCCCTGAGTTCAAGCTCCAGATCCTGCACACACTAAAACATCTTACTCTAAGACTTATTTATAAACTATCACCACCTAACTTCCTGTCACACACAAACCCAAAATGAGTGCCACGAGACACGTCTTTCTAACACCACTCCTGGAAGCCCCACAAGTGGCACAGCCATCTCTACACACATGCGTATAGATACTATGTGTGTATGTGTATATATGTATATATGCATACATACATATAACTGAAGTAAAACAAAAGATCATTGAGACTATGGAATTCCAGATTGAGTAACCACTCAAAAAGTTTCCGTTCAGGGGCTGGGAAGTTGGCTCAGTGGTAGAGCGCTTGCCTTGCATGCCTGAGGCCCTGGGTTCGATTCCTCAGTACCACATAAGCAAAAAGAAAAAAGCCAGAAGTGGTGCTGTGGCTCAAGTGGTAGAGCGCTAGCCTTGAGCTGAAGAGCTGACGGACAGTGCCCAGGCCCAGAGTTCAGGCCCCACGACCGGACCCAAAAACAAAACAAAACAAAAAAAGTTTCCGTTCAGGTCCCACAGAAGAGAACGGTAGTAAACCTAATGTTACATTTGGCGTTATTATTTTATACATTTGTCTTTTAGAACAGATACTCAAGGAAAACAAGTTCTGCCCGACATAGTGGAACATGTCTGTAACCCTAGCATTCAGGAGGCGGCAGTAACAGGGTCACAAGTTAGAGGCCAGCCTGGGACACCCAGAGAACTCCAGGTCACCCTGCAACTGTCTGTCTCCAAAATAATACTTACAATAGATAAAAACAAGATTGTATAAAAAGCTTAGATTCTTTAAAAGAAGAAAAATGGAAGTACAGATGCATCAAGTTTCTAATTTATGGAAAGCTGGTCTTGCACAGTTTTCTTGCTCTATACCATGCCTTACCCTACAGTATAACCTACCACTGGCTCAGCAGATACCATGAAGGCCAACACCCCTGCAAAACCAAACACATACCTACTCTAACTAGCAGAATTGGCAAAGATCTAAAGTATCATGAAACCATAGAGAAATGTCTAACAGGAGCAAGATACAGGAGAAACTTGTCTTGGAGCTGCAAACCCACATCTACAAATGACTATAAAGTAAGATGCACACCAAGAAGCTAAAAGAACTCTGAAAGGTCTCAGAAAAGTATATAATATGTGGGAAATTAGAAAGCTTCTTGAGACATACATAAATGTGCTAGGCCATACACTTGTTAGGGTATCAGCAAGTATGTAGACATCTGTCACAAATCATTAGCTAATATAAAATAAAAAAGATCTTTAAAAGCAGTTTCAAATCTAAATGCAACAGAGCAAACTTGTTTTAAAGTTATCACCGAGAAGCTGGGCACTGGTGGCTGAGGCCTTTAATCTTAACTTCACAGGAGGCTGAGATCTGAGGATTGCGGTACAAAGCCAGCCCCGGCAGAAAAGTCCGTGAGACTGTTATCTCCAATAAACCACCAGAAAACCGGAAGTGGTGCTGTGGCTCAAGCAGTAGAGCACTCGCCTTGAGCTGAAGAGCTGAGGGATAGGGCCCAGGCCCAGAGTTCACGACCAACAACAACAACAAAAAAAAACAAAAAAGAAAAAAAAAGGAAGTTACCACCTAGGTGCTTACACCAAAAAAAAAATTATCTCAGTAAATCAAAGTCCCAAATCAGTCTCTGCTTAGGGTTACATAATTATAAAGCATAATTCAGCGGTCACCAGTCTCAATAAAAGTGAATAAAGGTACAGATCTCCACTTCACTGTAGGCTCTGAGGACACACATTCACCCCTTACTTGGTGTCTTTACCTGTTCCCCAGGTACGAGCTCCATATCCACACATGCTGTCTTCAGCTCTAATAGCTCTAGAGAAATGAAGAGCATTCCTTTGAGCTACAAGTGATGCTCTAGTCAATTTCTACATCAGAAAAAGTTGTCCCAGGATCAGCCTCTCACAGAGTAATAGCATACTGATACGAATTTGGCTAAATATTCATACATAATTCATATACTACTGAAACGTATGTGGAAAACAACATTTGTAAAGTGACTTACAGTTTATCATTCCCACAATCTCGTTTCCCTCTCTGGTCAAAGGCATCAAAAGCTCTGTTCCCGGGACCGCCTCTGCCTCTGCTTCTCATGCCCCCTCTTGGGCCTCCACGTCCTCTCAGTGGCCGGTCTCGATCAAACCTGTCCACTGGTCTAGGAAAAGGTGACAATGCAATATGATAAGAGAACCCAAGCCTCTGCCCGTGTTCTGCCTCATCCAGGTTCCTGGATGGTGTGGTACAGTACCACCAGGCAGGCTCTGGTGTGTAATCACCTGCCCACTTTCCCTTCTGCCCATCCTCCTGCTTTCTGAGACCTACTTTTTTCTACTAGACTATAATCTCCTAAGATGTAGTTCTAAAGGACTACATCTTTTAAATCATTTTAACCCTTGTTTATTAACATGTTTTTAATTTGTAAAGGCTTTTCAAAACATTTTCCACAACAGCAAATTACTTTATTTAAAAGAGATTCTGGCCAGGTGCCAGCGGCTCACGCTTGTGATCCTAGCTACTCAGGAGGCTGAGATCTAAGGGTCACAGTTCAAAGCCAGCCCAGGTAGGAAAGTCTATGAGACTCTTATCTCCAATGAGCCACCAGAAAACTGGAAGTAGAGCTGTGGCTCAAAATGGTAGAGCACTAGCCTTGAGCAAAGAAGCTCTCAGGGAGTGCCCAAACCCTGAGTTCAAGACCCATGACTCACCAAAACAAAAAGAGATCCTGAAATCAAGAAATCCGGAGCATTAATAGCTTCAATACTTGCACCAGTAACAGTATACTACCATTCTCTCATGGCTAAGAAAAGCCATTCTTACCATAAAAATATCCCATTTACAATTTTCTTTCCTTGAAAAGAAATGCCAAAGTACTGATGATTAATTTTATGTGTTTTTCATATAAAATACTGTGTTAAACAAATTCTCTACGTTGGCTTTTCTACCTTCTAACAAAACCCAAACCAATTTTAAAACAGGAATCCTTTTTTTCTGATTTAAATTTCTAACCTTTTCTAATTTTATTAGCATTTAATATAATTTTGAGAATTTGTTGTTGTTGTTGTTGGTTGTGGGGCTTAAACTCTGGGCCCTGGGCGTTGTCCCTGCGCTCTTCAACTCAAAGCTCAAGGCGAGCGCTGCTTGAACCTCAGCGCTACTTCCGGTTTTCTAGTGGTTTATTGGAGATAAGAGTCTCACGGACTTTCCTGCCCAGGCTGGCTTTGAACTGAGATCCTCAGATCTCAAAACCTCCTGAGTAGCTAGGATTACAGGCGTGAGCCACCAGCGCCCGGCTAGAGAAATTATTTTTAACCTATAAAAATTCCTTACATAAACTGCACTACTAAACACTGAACTACAGAAAGAAACCCTGGGTTCAACTCCTCAGTACCACATACACAGAAAAAGCTGGAAGTGGCACTGTGGCTCAAGTGGTAGAGTGCTAACCTTCAGCACCAAGAGGCTCAGGGACACTGCCCAGATCCTGAGTTCAAGCTCCAGAACCAGCAAAAAAAAAAAAAAGAAAGAAAGAAATATGGAAAGAATCATACCACATTATGAATTGTTAGAATATAGTCCTAAGGGTAATACTTTTTAAAATAATTTTTATTAAGATTACAAAAAATTCACAAATTTCACAGTATTGTGGGATAGTGATACTTAAAGTCACAAACACATTTTAACCGTCACAAGGCAAATTGTCATTACCATGGTCTATAAAGTTTGTGAATTCTAGGAAGTGGCGCTGTGGCTCAAGTGGTAGAGCACTTGCCTTGAGCTGAAGAGCTGAGGGACAGCGCCCAGGCCCAGAGTTCAAGCCCCACGGCCGACAAAAAAAAAAAAAAGTTTGTGAATTCTATAAGCTTTGACAATACAACGATTTCTTCCACATTTGGTGATATGTACCTTTCTTTCCTTTTGTTTAGTGTAAGCTTCTCCCTCTTTCCCTCTCCTTCCCTCCCTCCCATCGCTGCCCTTGAGTTACTTAGTTTGCTTTCATCAATTGTTTTCATCAAGTGTAGCTGATGGGCCCCTCTGTTGTATATTTTCCTGTTTCCCTCTGATTCTGTGTCCTTCTCCTAGCTTCCCTCAGATGTGCGTATATATGTGTATATATATATAAACACACACACATACACACACGTACAGACATACCATATATAAGGTCAAGAACATAGAGTCATTTAGAAATGATATGAAAAATTAAGTAGATGTTCTTTGTTTCTTGAGCCCTGTTTACTTTGTCATATCTCCTTGCATTATAGATTTAACATCCACATATTGGAACCATGTGCCATTTGTCTCTCTGATCTTGGCTTACCTCGCTCAAAATGATTTGTTCTAGTTCTATCCATTTCCCTGTGAATGCCATTATTTTGTCCTTTCTAATGGCTGCATAATATTCCATTGTGTATAGATACCACAATTTTTGGATCCATTCATCTGTGGTGGGGCCTCTGGGTTGTTTCCATACCTTGGCTATTGTGAACAGTGCTGTAATAAACATGGAGGTACATGTGTCATTGTATACTGGTTTCTGTTGTTCAGGATAGATGCCTAGGAGTGGTATGGCTGGGTCATAAGGGAGGTCAATATCTAGCTTTCTGAGAACCCTCCAGACTGCTTTCCAAAGTGGTTGTGTAAGTGTACATTCCCACCAGCAGTGTAATAGGGTTCCTCTTTCTCCGCATCCCCTCCAGCATTTGTCGTTGGCTGACTTGAGGATGTGGGACATTATGACTGGGGTAAGGTGGTATCTTAGGGTTGTCTTTATTTGCATTTCCTTCACAACCAGGGATGGTGAACATTTCCTCTTGTGTTTCTTTGCCATTTTTATCTCTTCTTCTGAGAAGTCTCTCTTTAGTTCCCTTGCCCATTTAGTAATTGGTTTGTTAGGTTTTGGAGGGATTAGTTTCTTGAGTTCCTTGTATATACTGGATATTAACCCCTTGTCTGATATATTACTGGTAAATATTTTTTCCCAGTTACTTGGCTGTCTTTCTAGCTTGGTTGCTATAGCTTTAGCTGTCCAGAAACTTTTTATTTTAAGGTAGTCCCATTTGTCCTGTCTCTGTCCAATTTGTTGTGACCCTGGAACTCTGTTCAGGAAGTTCCTGCCTGTTCCTATAAGTTCAAGTGTCTCTTCTACTCTGTCCTGCAGTAGTTTCAGAGATTCAGGTTTGATCTTAAGGTCTTTAATCCATCTTGAATTGATGTTAGTGCATGGTGACAGGCTGGGGTCCACTTTTAGTTTTCTGCATGTGGCCACCCAGTTTTCCCAGCACCAATAGTTGAAGAAACTATGATTCTTCCACTGTATGTCTTTGACTTCTTTGTCAAATATCAACTAACTCTATGTATGCAGCTTTATTTCTGGATCTTCTAATCTGTTCCATTGGTCTCTGGGTCTGTTTTTGTGCCAACACTAAGCTGTCTTTGTTATTATGGTTCGGTAGTAGAGCTTGAAATCTGGTATCCTGATGCCTCCTGCATCGTTTCTTTTGCCTATGATTGCTTTGGCTTTTCTAGGTCTTTTGTAAAACAGAAATCTTAAAAAAAAAAAGTCTACCCAAAATTTGAACAGTAAACACATACATGGAAAGTAACATCAATGAAAATCAGTCCTATATTTATAGAAATCTAGATCAAATAACAACAAAATACCAAAGTCTTCTCAAATATATTAATGATAGAAACCAAGCCTAAAAACATCCCTGTGTTCTGATATACTATAATCCTTGAAAACAGTCTCTATTTATATACCTTTTCCTATTTCTTGTTTTGTTTTGCTTTTTTGAAACATGGTCTTCCTGTCTAACCCAGGCAATGAACTTGAAATTATCCTGCTTCAGATTCATAATTACTAGGACAACAGGTGTGAACCACCACACCAGGTCTTCTGAATTTTAAAACTTGATGAAAATTAAATAATCTTGTACTCAAGAAGTTTAATAGTTGACAAACTCAAACACAAAAGGCAGAGAAATACCATATAGATCAAGAATCCTGAGCTGGGCACCAGTGGCTCAGGCCTGTAATCCTAGCTACTCAGGAGGCTGAGATTTGAGAATTATGGTTCAAAGCCAGCATGGGCAGGAAAGTCTGTGAGACCCTTATCTTCAATTAACCACCAGAAAACCAGAGGTGGTGCTGTTGCTCAATGTAGTAGAACAGAAAAGCTCAAGGACAGCTATGCCCAGACCAAGTTCAAGGCCCAAGACCAGGAGAAAAAAAAAAAAAAAGTAAGACTTCCATACATATTTCTCACATGACCCACTGAGAGGACACCACTTCCAGTGCTCCTACAAAAAGTATATGGCAGTGTTCCTCCAGGAAAAAAAATCAGACAATCACAAACCATGGTGTGTGCTACAAAAATAACTTGGTCTACACTCTATTCTAGATTAAAGAAGGTAGAGCAAATTAGATAATTTAAAGAATTAGATAACAGTGCTGTATCAATATTAATGAGTTTAATAATTGTGTCATGGTTTTTGGCAAATACATAAAGTATTTAGGGATGAAGGAACATTCACACATCTTATTTTCAAATGACAAAGAAAAAAGTATGTGTTTAGAAAGGGAGAGAATGATAAAGCAAATATGTTAAGAAGCTGATATTTAGGGAATACAAGATGAAGGGTATAAGAGAACATTTCATATAATTCTTGCAATGTTTTCAGAAATTAAATTAGTTTAAAAGAAAAAAGAAAAGGCCACTCCATTGTCTCATGTCCCTGTGCCGCTCCATTACATATGTTATTTCACTTCACAGATTTTCATGTCACAAAAATCTATCTTTTTCAAGGCTACCATACTTATTATTTTAAAAAAAGAAAAGGTAGCTGGGTGGGGTTGGGAGATGGGGAAATGATGAAGCGGGGACAGTGATCAGGATGCGTTGAATTCAAAAGCTGACGTGTTCAATTATACTTTTTAAAGTTCCGTACTTTTTAAAAATGATGACAACATGGGTTTCTGCCTTTGAACAAAAATTTCATTTTTTCCATAAAATAAAAATCTGAATAGAGAAAAAATACATAAACCTTTCAAAAATTTAGTTCTGATCCAAGAGGCTTTTCATATATAAGTGGCCATTACAGAGAAAATTTGAAATAATCCCCCCAAAATAAAATAAAGTAAGCTTTTCCAGAACTTTCTCCAACTTGTGGCAGACCCACCAGGTCGTGGATTGCTGTTTTATGTGTCCCTTCTAGTTGGTGACCACATGCACACCCCTTCAGATCAGCTGCTCTCTGCTACATGTGCTTTATTTGCTTCATTGTAATCGACTCTAGCGGGGGTGAGGCACACTTGACCCATGGGTCATTTAAGACCTGAAAAATCATTTGGTTCATGACAGGTTATAAATATTCAAAGTGCCTTTGGCAGAAAAAGGTTCCTCACTCCAGCCTTACAAAGCCATGTTCTTTGGCTAAGACGCTGTTTAGGGCAAGGTCCTAAATGAATTTGGTAGTGAGGAAGTCAAAACACTTTGAGAACCTTGACTCACTGGACACAGAACTATCTTCCTAACAGGAGGCGTAAGATAAATAATAGCTACCTTTGTAGAAGGCTCTGCTCTGACGCAGGAGAGATGGCAGAATGCACCAGCTCTATGCCATACTTCACACCAGAGAACTTTCCAGAGATTGGTATCATGCATCACAGTAGACTTTTCTTCACGTGACTCATGAAAGCCTACTTAGTTGATCATAGAATTGAGAATCTGTTTTAATCTGTTTAAGAGTCTGAATTCATAATGCTAAATCAAAACCCTAATTATATCCCTTCTAAAATTAGCTCCTTAGTCTAAAACTCAGAGTAAATTTTTAAAGAATCCCATACACTCATCTGTTTTGGTTTTGTTTTGTTTTTCTGTACTGGGGCTTGAGTTAAGGGTTGTATGCTTGCTACAAAGGCACTCTACTTGAACCACGCCTCCAGCACCTTTGATTATTTACTTGTTTATTTTTTCTGGTGTCAGTGCTTATGCTCAGGACCTTGAGCATTTACTTACCTTGTTTTGTTCACAGCTGCTGTTCTATTAGGCCACACCTTTAGTCTGGCTAATTGGAGAAAAAATATTATGGATTTTCCTGCCTGGGCTGATTTCAAACTGTGATCCTCAGATCTTAGCCTTCAGGGTAGCTAGTATTACAGATATGAGCCACTAGCATCCAGCTATTTTGTTACTTTTATATTCTTGCTTTTGTTAGGCCAGCCTGGACCCCATATTTATGTTTACCACATAGCTGACAGGCATGTACCACCACACCCAGCTTTTTATTAGCTAAGGTGGTGTCTTGCAAAACAGCTATGTTACCTAGTGTGAAACACTGCACTGAGTTCTTCTCATAGTTACAAAATTTTTTTTTTTTCCTTTGCAGTGGTACTAGACATTGATTCTAGGGCCTTGTACATTCTAAAGTGTTCTACCAATGTTCTACTGATAAAGTACCTTCCAAGCTGACAGTTAGTTTATTATTTATTTTTGTTGGTCATGGGGCTTAAACTCTGGGCCTGGGCGCTGTCCCTCAGCTCTTCAGCTCAAGGCTAGCGGTCTACCACTTGAGCCATAGAATTACTTCCTGTTTTCTGGTAGTTAATTGGAGATAAGAGTCTCAAGGGCTTTCCGGCGCTGGCTTTGAACCTCCTGCTTTGAGCTGCGATCCTCAGATCTCAGCTTCCTGAGTAGCTAGGATTACAGGTGTGAGCCACCAGTGCCCAGCTCCACAATTTAGTTTTAATTATACAACTGGTCCTGAATCTTAATATAAGGCCATCTCTGAAATACATGAAGATCTTTCAGGTGTCATCTAAGGTAACAGTGACTTGTTGCATACACTAGCAAAATATTCCTAAGACCTGTAATATGGAAAGGTCACAAAGGCTGTGGCTGTTCTGAACGGTCGTCTGGTCCCCAAGCCTCCCATTGAGGACTGTGGTACATACTTTCCATCTGAAAACTTCTCAGCTGTAAAGTCCGCCTGCCTCTCAGTCTCGTAGGGCCGGTATTCCCTGTAGGCTCTCCGCTCTGCTCTATCCAGTATCACCTCTGTTCCCCGGCTGTCATTCCATCCTTGTTGCTCCCCTCTTCTAGGAGTCCGCTTCTGGCCTGCCAGCAGAAAACCAAAGCAGAGGGCTAAAACACAACGTCCATGACAGCACTAGGTACAATTCTATAGCTTCCTTAAGATTTCATTTTCCTAAAGAACAGTTGGAAAACCATTGGAAAAGCTTGGGAATTTCAGGGGGGAAAAGTTGCTGATGCTATTTCCTAGACTTTATTCATTTTTAATAAAACCTGATTACTATTATGACTTCACTTATGTCTTAGTATAAGATAAGCCATATAGTTATAGGTATCTTTTTCTTTCTTTTTGTTGTTGCTGCTGTGCTTTGAAGTAAGGTCATTACATATGTTTATGAGCCTAGAACTCACCATCCTTCTTTATCAAGACTCCTGTTAAGATTATAGGCATGGGGAGCTGGGAAGGTGGCTCCGTGGTAGAATGCTTGCCTTGCATGCATGAGGCCCTGGGTTCGATTCCTCAGCACTACATAAGCAAAAAGAAAAAAGCTGGGGCTGGGAAGGTGGCTCAGTGGTAGAGTGCTTGCCTTGCATGCATGAGGCCCTAGGTTTGATTCCTCAGCACCACATAAGCAAAAAGAAAAAAGCCGGAAGTGGTGCTGTGGCTCAAGTGGTAGAGCGCTAGCCTTGAGCTGAAGAGCTGAGGGACAGCGCCCAGGCCCAGAGTTCAGGCCCCAGGACCGGACCCAAAAATAAAAAATAAAAAAATAAAAAAAAGAAAGAAAAAAGCTGGAAGTGGCGCTGTGGCTCAAGTGGTAGAGTGCTAGTCTTGAGCTGAAGAGCTGAGGAACAGTGCCCAGGCCCAGAGTTCAGGCCCCATGACTGGACCCAAAAAAAAAAAAAAGATTATAGGCATGGGCTGGGAAGTTGGCTCAGTGGTAGAGCGCTTGCCTTGCATGCATGAGGCCCTGGGTTTGATTCCTCAGCACAATATAAGCAGAAAAAAAAAGCCGGAAGTGGCGCTATGGCTCAAGTGGTAGAGCGCTAGCCTTGAGCTGAAGAGCTGAGGGACAGCGCCCAGGCCCAGGGTTCAGGCCCATGACCAGACCCCCCCCCACCCCCCCCAAAAAAAGGATTATAGGCATGTAGCACACCTGGTTAATTATATGTGACCTCTATTAACACATTTTAATAAATTAACTACATTTCACATTTCAAAAGCAGCTTTATGAAACCCTGGTTCTAAACCTCATCCAGAAAAGTAGATACATACCAATACATTAGATTGTACTTTAAAGTACATATTTCCTGCTCTTTGGTGGGATTTATATATTTGCCATATGTCTCTAGTGTGGGCCTCAACTCAGTTTCCAACTCACTCAAGAAGGCATCTTTTTTGTCCATTTGAGAATCCAGCATCCAGGGGAAACAAGGACGAAGTGCTAGCCCTCTCTAGTCTTTTCTCTTCTGATGCATTAGAATGTTCAATCAAATCCTATATTTGAAACCATCTAATAAGTTAGTAAATAAGTTATGAACTTTGTCATTTCTTAAACTGTCTTCCAAAATTGTCTCCCCCCCACATTTAAAAGTTCTCCTCAAATATTACTTATAACTTTGATTTTCCTTAGGAGTAATTACTCCACGTTGACAGTACAGATAGAAAATCTTAAAATTTATTCAGATAATGGATGTACATCTCACTGAATTCCTCTCATGTATCCACATTAAAAATACAGGCCTAGGGTTGGGAATGTGGCTTAGTGGTTGCCTAGCATATATGATGCCCTGTACCACATACACAGAAAAAGCCAGAAGTGCCGCTGTGGCTCAAGTGGTAGAATGCTAGCCATGAGCAAAAGCACCTCAGGGACAGTGCCCAGACCCTGAGTTCAAGCCCCAGGACTGGCAAAAAAATAAAAAAAAAGGCATTTTTTTCATTTTTCTCATTAATATTTCCTAACTAAACTTTATAGTCTAACATAAATAAGCACTATCAAGTCTTAAAATAAAAATCCTGTTTGTACATCACAAACATAAAATCATGTAATTACCTCTAATATAAAATGTTTTTGAGTGTCAAATATTGCACAAGAGATTCAAGTTCATGCTGATATGGCTTTAATATTCTATAATATCTATAAATATTTAAATCTAATTTATGTCAATGATATTTTCATAGAGGATTATACTTCTACTGCAGAAACAAAACAGATAAACAATATTAGAAGGGGTATTTGAAATCAGGGGGAAAATGTCACTAAGTACGTTAACAAGTTGAGCCAGGCACTGGTGGCTTACACCTGTAATCCGCGCTACTCAGAAGGTAGAGATCTGAGGATCGTGGTTCAAAGCCAGCCTGGGTGGGAAATCCATGAGGCTCTTATCTCCAATTGACCACCAGAAAAACTTAAATTAGCACGGTGGCTCAAAGTAGTAGAGTGCTTGGCTTGAGCAAAAGATCTCAGGGACAAAATCCAGGCCCTGAGTTCAAGCCCCACAACAACAACAACAACAAAAATTAACAAGTTGAAGCTGGGCACTGGTGGCTCATACCTCTAGTCCTAGCTACTTATAAGAATGGGATCTGAGGATCACAGTTTGAAGCCAACCCGGGCATAAAAGTTATGTTAGCTCCAAGAAAGCCAGAAGTGGAGCTGTGGCTTCAAGTGTTAGAGCACTAGCCGTGAGCAAAAAGAAAAAGCTAAGGGACAGAGCCAGGCCTTGAGTTCAAGCCCTAGAACTAGCACCTACATAAATAAAGTTAACAAACTGAAAAAAGATTTGCTTCAGATTTTCTATTTGCAACCCATAAGCGTTTGTGTTTTACCATTACAGCATCTCCATTCAACTACAGAATTACTTCAGTGCTTATTCTACCTTCTTTCTGCTACCCTATTTTAACTGTATCAATTAATCTTGCTTTATAGTAAAGTCACTTCCATCATTTCTGTATGTAAATTGAAAAGTGTTAAATAGAATTGCCTATTTACTAGGATAGCTACCAATATCCTGCAAATACTACATTCTCCCTCGAAATCTCCTAAGACCAAAGCTATTAGTGACAGACATCCAGAAATCAGTTGTAAGAGGTCAAGGTTGCAATTGAACCCAGCTTGCTTTTCCATGCTGGATCAGCAGCTTCAAGTAGGTAGTGCAAGCCTTGCATTTCACCAGCCCTTTCCAACAAAAGGCTGGCATAAGCATTTTGATCACTGATCTAAACACAAGCCTAGAGAAGAAAAAGAATACAGTAAAATTTCCAGCAAGAGATCCCTTAAAATAGTTGCATTTTGGCTCAGAGTTTCCTAGGCTCTGAAAGCTGAGGAAAGCAAGCAGAAACAGTCTCTGATGGTTCGAGAATATACTGAGCAAAGGGCCTCTCGGAGGTTTCTGTACAGATTTGGACAGTCTAGTACATTAAAACCTCCATCTCCACGGGGCAAGCTTCTGATTTCCACATTCTGGAGGATTAATGTTTCTGGTGTATGTCAGAAAGCATATTCCCAAGTGCTCGACATTTCTCTATGCTAAGCATTCACTCAATCTTCATACTAAATTTAAAATGTTTGAGTATGGAAAAGCACAGACTTCATAACAGGGCTAACAGGAATTTGTGTAGATCTCTAACACTCATTACACATAAATTTAGTACAGTAACAGAAATTCAGTACATAAATGGAAATTAATGAGGTGCTTGCTGCTATTATGCACTTGAAAAAGAACTACAATGATATTCTAACTATAAAATTAACTCAAGATTTTTAAATATAGATCTCAAACACCAGATTGCCTAGACTTTAAATGGACAGAAAAATTGGTAAAAGCACTGGATTACAATGTCAAGCAGGAAGTAGGCTGTGGCCCAGTTTTATATCACTTAAGTTTTGAAAAAAAGAAACAGGGCTGGGAAGGTGGCTCAGTGGTAGAGCACTTGCCTTGCATGCCTGAGGCCCTGGGTTCAATTCCTCAGCACCACATAAGCAAAAAGAAAAAAGCCAGAAGTGGCACTGTGGCTCAACTGGAAGAGCGCTAGCCTTGAGCTGAAGAGCTGAGGGACAGCGCCCAGGCCCAGAGTTCAGGCCCCATGACCAGACCCAAAAAAGAAAAAATAAAAAGAAACAGCACGGCAGCACTGTGCATTAATGAAATTAAATTTGTGCATATAAATTCACAGTGCTGACAGCAGGAAAAATAAAGGGTCTTCGTTCAATGTCATACATGCTTAACATTTCCACCACAGGGTAGGACTGTAGTTCACTGGTAAAGTCCTCTGGCCTGGCTTGCTTGAGGCCCCAAGTTTGATCCTCAATACTATAAGAAAAAATGACAAAAAGTATTTTTAAATTGAAAAGGGTGAAATTCAGCCAGCTTACTAGCAGTACTAGCTGCAGTGTCACACTCTTCTAAAGGACACAACATTTTCATTTGTCTAAAAAAATGAAGCTAGACATGAAGTCATGATGGCACACACTTCTGAGCTATGTAGGAAGCATAGGGAGACGGCCACCAGTTCCAACTCTCACAGCCAAAAATACATAGAGAAGTAAATAAATGGAGAAGCCTTGCCTCGTTTAATTCTGTATTTATCCAATGTGAGGAAAATGTAAGGTAAAAAGTTCTTTACTTCACTTGTTTAAGTAAGGTCATACGCTTGCTGACATACCCAATAGCATTTGGTTTTCAGCATCTTTATTTTACTGACTTCTGATTCTCAAGCAAGGAGCTGACTTCACACAGATAAAGGTAGAGTCGCGAGTTGCACAAGTCAAGGCACCAGCACCTAAACTAGAGGACTTTATGACTGGGCTGGAGCACACACTGTGTGTGTGTGTGTCTACGTGCGCGCACGTGTGCGTGCTCAGGACGGGGCACGGTCCTTCTAGACTTCTGGCTCAGGGTTGGCACTCCACCACGTGGTTAACTGGAGGTAAGCGTCTCCTGGACATACCTGCCAGGCTGGCTCCGAATCAAGACCCCCGCTCGGCCTCCTAAGGACTATGAGCACAGGTGTGAGCCTCGGCTGCCCCGCAGCAGTGCACACCTTTAGATCATCCAGGAACAGGCCAACAAGCTCTGCGGATGATGACACCCAGACACCTAACCTCAAAACTCAGAACACTGACAGCAGCACACCAAACCTCAGTACCCAGAACAGTACCAACCACACACCTAACTTCAGTACTCAGACAGTGACAATCACACACCTACCCTCAGTACTCAGACAGTGACAACAGCACCCCTGCCCTCAGTACTCAGAACAGTGACAATCACACACCTACCCTCAGTACTCAGACAGTGACAACAGCACCCCTGCCCTCAGTACTCAGACAGTGACAACAGCACTCCTGCCCTCAGTACTCAGACAGTGACAACAGCACCCCTCAAGGAAGAAGGGAGGCTGCATGGGTGCCAGGCCGGGGTCGGGGTCCGGGTCGGGGGGAAGCGCTTACCCAGGCGGCCTTCCCCTTCCCGCACCAGGCCGTGGGCTGGCATGGAGGCTTCTAGAAGCTTCCAGGGCTAGGAATGTCTCTGCTAGAGAGGCGGGGTGACTCAGCACCCACTGGAGGAGGACTTGGAGCCAGGGCGACCCCCACCCCAGCGTCCCCGCGCCCTCCCCCATCCTACCCCCCCCCCGCGCCCTCCCCCCTCCCCCCCACATCCCCGCGCCCCCTCCCCTCCTCCTTCCCCCCCCCCTCCCCGCGCCCCCTCCCCTCCTCCTTCCCCCCCCCCCCCGCGTCCCCGCGCCCCCTCCCCTCCTCCTTCCCCCCACGCGTCCCCGCGCCCCCTCCCCTCCTCCTTCCCCCCCCCGCGTCCCCGCGCCCCCTCCCCTCCTCCTTCCCCCCCCGCGCCCCCTCCCCTCCTCCTTCCCCCCCCCGCGCCCCCTCCCCTCCCCCTTCCCCCCCGCTCCCCCTCCCCTCCTCCTTCCCCCCCCCGCGCCCCCTCCCCTCCTCCTTCCCCCCCACGCCCCTCCCCTCCTCCTTCCCCCCCCGCGCCCCTCCCCTCCTCCTTCCCCCCCCGCGCCCCTCCCCTCCTCCTTCCCCCCCCCGCGCCCCTCCCCTCCTCCTTCCCCCCCCCGCGCCCCCTCCCCTCCTCCTTCCCCCCCCCTCCCCGCGCCCCCTCCCCTCCTCCTTCCCCCCCCCCCGCGTCCCCGCGCCCCCTCCCCTCCTCCTTCCCCCCACGCGTCCCCGCGCCCCCTCCCCTCCTCCTTCCCCCCCCCCCGCGTCCCCGCGCCCCCTCCCCTCCTCCTTCCCCCCCCGCGCCCCCTCCCCTCCTCCTTCCCCCCCCCGCGCCCCCTCCCCTCCCCCTTCCCCCCCGCTCCCCCTCCCCTCCTCCTTCCCCCCCCCGCGCCCCCTCCCCTCCTCCTTCCCCCCCCACGCCCCTCCCCTCCTCCTTCCCCCCCCGCGCCCCTCCCCTCCTCCTTCCCCCCCCCGCGCCCCTCCCCTCCTCCTTCCCCCCCCCGCGCCCCTCCCCTCCTCCTTCCCCCCCCCGCGCCCCTCCCCTCCTCCTTCCCCCCCCGCGCCCCTCCCCTCCTCCTTCCCCCCCCCGCGCCCCTCCCCTCCTCCTTCCCCCCCCCGCGCCCCTCCCCTCCTCCTTCCCCCCCCCGCGCCCCTCCCCTCCTCCTTCCCCCCCCCGCGCCCCCTCCCCTCCTCCTTCCCCCCCCCCGCGCCCCTCCCCTCCTCCTTCCCCCCCACGCGTCCCCGCGCCCCCTCCCGCTCACGCGCGGCCCCTCCCGCTCACGCGCGGCCCCCCCCCCCCGGCGCCCCCTCCCGCTCACGCGCGGCCCCTCCCGCTCACGCGCGGCCCCTCCCGCTCACGCGCGGCCCCCCGGCGCCCCCTCCCGCTCACGCGCGGCCCCCCGGCGCCCCCTCCCGCTCACGCGCGGCCCCCCGGCGCCCCCTCCCGCTCACGCGCGGCCCCTCCCGCTCACGCGCGCCCCCTCCCGCTCACGCGCGGCCCCCCCCCCCCGGCGCCCCCTCCCGCTCACGCGCGGCCCCTCCCGCTCACGCGCGGCCCCTCCCGCTCACGCGCGGCCCCCCCCCCCCCGGCGCCCCCTCCCGCTCACGCGCGGCCCCTCCCGCTCACGCGCGCCCCTCCCGCTCACGCGCGGCCCCTCGGCGCTCCGCTGCTCCGGCCTGGCTGCGGGCCGGCGCCGCGCTCCCGTCGGGTCCCCGCGCGCGCGCTCCCCGTACCGGGCGGCTGCGGGCCCCCGCCGGGGCTGCCGGGCGCCGGGAGGCTCTTGCGCTCCTTCTGGGACTCCCTGCGGCCGCCCGCGCCGGGCCGCGGGCCCGAGCTCCCCGCGGGGCCCCGGCCGCCGCGCTCGGACCCGGCCGCCGCCGCCGCCGCCGCCGCCGCCTCGTCGCGCCTGCGGCGCTGCAGCTGCTGCTGGCGCCGGCGCTCGGCCTCGCGCAGGATGTCGAACGGGTCCGACTCGTCGTCCAGCAGCTGGTGGAAGCGGTTGGCCACGACGCAGCCGAAGCTCTCCTGCATCGCGGCGCCGGCGGCGGCCACGGGGCTCCCCGGGGCGCCCTTCATCCCGCCGCCGCCGCCGGGGCCGGCCCGCCGCGGGCGGCCCCGCGAGCGAGGCTCAGCGGAGCCGGGGGCGAGGACCCATGCCGCCGCCTCCGCCCTCCCTGCCCGACCGGTCCCGTCCCTCCCGGCGCCCGCCCCGGCGCCGCCGCTACCGCTGCCCGCCCAACCGCCGCGAGGCAGCCAATCAGCGCGCAGAGCCACGCCGCCTCCCCCGCCGGCGCGCCAGAGAGCCCAATCACAGGCCGGCGGCTGTTACGTCACGGGACCTCCGCGTCCCTCCCCCCAGCGGGTTGGGGAGGGGCGGGGCCAGGGGCGGGCCAGGGGTGACCCCGGCTGCGGGTGACCCCGACTGCGGGTGTCCCGGGCTGCGGGTGTCCCGGGCTGCGGGTGTCCCGGGCTGCGGGTGTCCCGGGCTGCGGGTGACCCCGGCTGCGGGTGTCCCGGGCTGCGGGTGACCCCGGCTGCGGGTGTCCCGGGCTGCGGGTGACCCCGGCTGCGGGTGTCCCCGGCTGCGGGTGACCCCGGCTGCGGGTGACCCCGGCTGCGGGTGTCCCCGGCTGCGGGTGTCCCGGGCTGCGGGTGTCCCCGGCTGCGGGTGTCCCCGGCTGCGGGTGACCCGGCTGCGGGTGACCCCGGCTGCGGGTGTCCCGGGCTGCGGGTGACCCCGGCTGCGGGTGACCCCGGCTGCGGGTGACCCGGCTGGGGTGACCGGGGCTGCGGGTGACCCCGGCTGCGGGTGACCGGGGCTGCGGGTGACCCCGGCTGCGGGTGACCCGGCTGCGGGTGACCCCGGCTGCGGGTGACCGGGGCTGCGGGTGACCCCGGCTGCGGGTGACCGGGGCTGCGGGTGACCGGGGCTGCGGATGACCGGGGCTGCGGGTGACCTGGCTGCGGGTGTCCCGGGCTGCGGGTGACCCCGGCTGCGGGTGACCCCCGCCGCGGCCGTCCTGTCAGCCCTCTGAGCGTGGGGAGCGCTCCGTGCCCGCCACACGTCTGTGGAGGTTACGCACTCAGCCCTCAGTGTGCGGCAGAGGGGGCACCAGCTGCTTCTTGTCATGGGCCTTAGACCTTAGTGCTTACTGAGAAGACAGAGTCCTAACTCCCAGCCCAGGGGTCTACCCTGAAGACGAGACTCCCAGTGCAGGGAAATGACCACGAGGACGAGACTCCCAGTGCAAGGATCTGACCACGAGGACGTGACTCCCAGTGCAAGGATCTGACCATGAGGCCGAGACTCCCAGTGCAAGGATCTGACCACGAGGAAGTGACTCCCAGTGCAAGGATCTGACCACGAGGACGTGACTCCCAGTGCAAGGGTCTGACCACGAGGACGTGACTTCCAGAGCAAGGATCTGACCACGAGGACGTGACTCCCAGTGCAAGGATCTGACCACGAGGACGTGACTCCCAGTGCAGGGAAATGACCACGAGGCCGAGACTCCCAGTGCAAGGATCTGACCAGGAGGACGTGACTCCCAGTGCAAGGATCTGACCACGAGGACGTGACTCCCAGTGCAAGGGTCTGACCACGAGGACGTGACTCCCAGTGCAAGGATCTGACCACGAGGACGTGACTCCCAGTGCAAGGATCTGACCACGAGGACGTGACTCCCAGTGCAAGGATCTGACCATGAGGACGTGACTCCCAGTGCAAGGATCTGACCAGGAGGCCGAGACTCCCAGTGCAAGGGTCTGACCACGAGGACGTGACTCCCAGTGCAAGGATCTGACCACGAGGCCGAGACTCCCAGTGCAAGGATCTGACCACGAGGCCGAGACTCCCAGTGCAGGGAAATGACCACGAGGCCGAGACTCCCAGTGCAAGGGTCTGACCAGGAGGACGTGACTCCCAGTGCAAGGGTCTGACCAGGAGGCCGAGACTCCCAGTGCAAGGGTCTGACCAGGAGGACGTGACTCCCAGTGCAAGGAAACGGCCACGAGGCCGAGACTCCCAGTGCAAGGATCTGACCACGAGGATGTGACTCCCAGTGCAAGGGTCTGACCACGAGGACGTGACTCCCAGTGCAAGGGTCTGACCACGAGGACGTGACTCCCAGAGCAAGGGTCTGACCACGAGGACGTGACTCCCAGAGCAAGGATCTGACCACGAGGACGTGACTCCCAGTGCAAGGATCTGACCACGAGGACGTGACTCCCAGTGCAAGGATCTGACCACGAGGATGTGACTCCCAGTGCAAGGGTCTGACCAGGAGGATGTGTGGGAAAGCTTTCCTTTGGAAATGAGGGTTAAGGTGAGAAGGAAAGGTAACAAGGGGCAGATGCAGAAGTCTTGAGGTGGGATGGAGTTGCAAACCTTATTAAGATCAAAGGAAAGTAGTGTGACAGGAATGAAGGATTGGACAAAGACCTAATTTTAGTCTTCATTCCAGGAGCAGTGCCTCAAACACAACCAATTTATATTTGAAAGGCCCACTCTACCTGTGCTGTGAAAAACTAGACTGGAGTATCCAGGGAAGAACTGATGAGGTCACTTGGATTTGGGATGGTAGCAGTGGCTATAAGTAAGAGTGACTAGATCAGCAGGACTTGGACAGTGCTTGGTATGGATGATAAAGCTGATGTGAAGATGTGGTGCGGGCATCTGAAATGGGAATGCTCGTCACAACTAAATGCTACAGTGGGAAGGGACCATGAGTTCCATCTTGGGCATGTTGAGGTTGGTGATTTGGATGGTTTTGTTTGTCATTTCAGATATTCAGTTAAGGCATGGAGCTTAGAGACGGAGGGGGGGTCCTTCAGGAAATCTTGCCCATGCACTGGTGACTGCCCCATCTTACAGCCATCACTTTCCCTTACATTTTGGATTTTGTTCAGGCATCAGGTGACTGTAGGCCACAGGGGAAACGGTGCCCCTTCCAGCCTCAACCTTCATTAATCGTTGTAATTCCATTCTTTTGCCAGCAACTGCTGAAGAATAGGTTGCCTTGAATACCTGGCAGAGCAGATTGGAGGGGGAAAATTCAGGGCAAGCTTTTCTTACACCTAAAAAGAAATTGAAGCTGGGTACAGGTGGTATACCTGTCATCCTAACTACTGAGAAGACTGAGATGTCAGGATCATGGGTCAAAACCAGCCTGGGAAGACAAGCCTGGAAAAAACTCTTCTCTCCAACTAACCCTTTATTGCAACTATAAATATGGAGAAAACCTGGATCCTGAATTCTATGGAACTTCCAACTTAGCCCACTTGGGAACCTCCCTACCTCAAACTTGTCATTACATAAGTTTAACAATCAAATATGGTGGGAAAAAAAGATTATATGGACAAAAGGGTTTTGTTTTTTTTTTCATTTTTCTTTTCTTTTCGCTTTTTTTTGGTCATGGGGCTTGAATGCAGGGCCAAGTGCTGTCCTGAGCTTTTTCCCTCAAGGTTAGTGCTCTACCAATTTAAGCCATAGTGGCACTTCTGGTTTTCTAGGGGTTCATTGGAGACAAGAATCTCATAGACTTTACTGCCTGGGCTGGCTTTGAACTGTGATCTTCAGATCTCAGCCTTCTGAGTAGGATTACAGGCGTGAGCCACTGCCTCCTGGTTGGACAAAGCTTTTGATGCATGCAGTGACACAAGCTAACCTTGCAAACACTGTAGTAACTAAAAGAAGCCCAAGGTAAAAGGCCATAAATTCCACTAATATAAAATATCTGTAGACTAGGCAAATCCATAGAGACAGAGTACATTAGTGCTACCAGGAGTTAGCAGCAATGTAATGTTGGAGAATTACTCCTTAGTAAGTCTTCTTTAGGGGTAATAAAAATACTCCAGCAATAATGCAATACTAGCACAAAATTGTGAATCACTAAATGTCACTGACTTACACATTTTCACATTGTGAAAATAATAAATACTTTACCACAACTCAAGGAGAAAATGTACTTTGTACCCAGATCAAGATTTGAGCCCTGATCCTGCCACCCATTAACTCTGTGATTTTGGACACGTATTTCTGGGGCTTGTTTTCTCATCTGTAAAATGGAGCCATCACAGTCCCTACCTCCAAGGGCTACTTTGAAGTTGGAATGAGATCATTTATTTACAGTGATCAGCACAGTGCCATCACAGAATAAATCCTCATGAGAAGTCTTGTTATTAAATGTTATTAGTGTCATTCATTATCAAGCACATAATTTTCAGTCAGGCTTAATAGCAGATAGAATCATCTTAAAATTTCTGAAGATTTGTTTTTGTGTCTGTGCTAGGGCTTGAACACAGAGCCTGGGCACTGTCCCTGAGCCTCTTTGTGCTCAAGGCTAGTGTTCTACCACTTGAGCCACAACTCCACTTCCAGTTTTTGAGTGTCTAATATGACATAAGAATCTCACAGGGACTTTTCTGTCCAGCCAGCTTCAAATCTTGATCCTCAGATGTCAGCCTCCTAAGTAGCTAGGATTACAGGTGTGAGCCACCAGCACCCAGATTCTGAAGATTTTTTTTTTTAATTGTGCTGGCACTGGGGCTCTCATTCTTGCTTGGCTTTTTTGATCAAGCTTGACATTCTTCCAACTTGAACCACATCTATACTTTTGGATTTTTGCTGGTTAATTGTAGGTAATAATCTCACAATTTTCTACCCAGGCTGGCTTCAAACCTTGATCCTCAGATCTCAGCCTCCTAAGTAGCTAGGACCACAGGTGTGAGCTACCAGTGCCAACAGAAGATTCTTTTTTTGGTCTGTTCTTTTTTTTGGTAGTTGGAATTGAACCCAGGACATTGTGCTTGCTAGACAATCACTTTGCCACTGAGCTACATACCAGCCTGAAAATTCTTTCTTCAACAACATTAATACCTATACAAGAGACCATACATTGTGAAGCACAGTGGTAAGCCAATGTTGTCTCTGGTACCTTTAAGCTGCCACTATACCACCATAAAACCATCCACTTAAGAGAAGGGTTAGAAGTCCCATTGGACTTCTGGAGTCAGACCACTTCCCCACTTTATTCCTATTCTCCTTCCAGCAAGGTTAGCATACAAGTTCTTAGGGCTTGTCCTATGAGCATTGCATCTTAATTTCCAAATCACAGAGGGCCATAATAAC